CAGGGATGGGACAGGGACAGGGACAGGGACAGGGACAGGGACAGGGACAGGGCAGGGCTGGAGCGTTGCTGGCTGTGACACCTCCCGGGGACTCGAGGCCTCCCTTTGATCTCCTGCTGTCCGTGACCCCTCTCAGCCGGGCTTTGGGGAAGCTGGGATGGATCCCCTTGGGATCAGTCCCTGTAACCCTTTGTGTGCCGGCGTGGGAGCGCTGGGGGGAGCGGGGCTGCCGGGATCCCTCCCTGGCAGAGGGAATTTTCCATCGGTGCCGTGCACGGGTTTGGGTTTGCCTGGGATTTCCCAAAGGCTCAGGAGCTCATCCCTGCTCCTGCCTCATCCCTTTGGAGCACGCGGAGAGGAAGGACCCAGGCTCCCCCCGCAGCCGTTCCCGGGGCAGGGATGGGCTCAGCCCCCCGTGGGACACCCGGGATTCCAGGACAGGCTCCTGTCTGTGCTGCTGGGAGCGCTGGCTGCTCCCCAGCCCCAGACCACACACACGGGCTGGGCCGGCGCTGCTTCCTCCTCCTCCTCCTCCTCCTCCGGGCAGCAGAGCGGCCGGCTGGCAGCTCGGTGCCATCCGGGGCTGCTGGGGACGCCTGGGCACAGGGGGCAGGACAGGCAGCTCTGCTGGCGGTAATTAGCGGCTGAGCTTTAATCAGGCTCTGGGCTGTGCAGGGGTGGGTGCAGCCAGCCCTGGGGGCGCCCCCCGCTCTGGGGTCCCCAGGGTGGGCTCAGGGTGCTTTGTGGTAGTCCCGGCTGCTGTCGCAGCCCATCTCAGGGACCAACTCATCACCTTAATTACCGAGAGCGTTGATTGGCCCCAACCTTTGCCGGGTCCCCGGAGCATTGCTGGGGTGCTCCGGGCCTGGCCCCGTCCTGGCTCCCTGTGCACATCGGGGGATGCTCTGGATTTACTCCTGGACTGCGTTTCCCTGTGGAAGGGCATCCCCTGCTCCACACAACCCCTCCAGGTCCTCCCTTGGCTCAGTCCAGAGGGATAATGAGGAAAACAAAGGTTCCTCCAGGCCCTGCAGTGTTTTGGGGTGAAGCACCCCCTGCCCTGCAGGGATTTGGGGCGGTTCAGCATCCCCGCAGCTCCAGGTGCCACCAGGCTTGGGGGGTCACAGGACACCCTCAATTCCCGTGATGTTTTCCAGGGTTTTCTCGGCAGCTCCCCCGTTCCCAGCCTGGCGTGGGGAAGGGTCTGTCCTGAGGTTCGGGGGTGCTCTGGGGTTGGGTGGGATGAGCTGGCAGGGCGGGATTGGAGCCCCCCGGTGTGAGTTGGGGTCACACGAGCTTCAGCCCAGCCCCTTCTGTGGGGACAGCCCAGCCGTCCCAGTCCAGCCGTGCTCAACCCCAGCTTCTTCCTCTTTCACGGAGCAACTGAGGAAAAACCTCAGTAGATAAAGAAATGGGTCCCCAAGGGCTGCAGGCTCCTCCGGCCGCTGTCACCTCGTACCCCGAGTGTCCCCCGGGCTCCTTTTCCCTCGGGAGACGCGCGGCAGCCCCGGGAGACGGGAGCGGGCTCTGGGGAATGCCCGTCCCGGGACGTGAGCCGGGTACCAAACCCTGCCGGCCTCTGGCAGCCGGGAACTCTTCCCTTCCCGAGCCCCCGGAGGCTCTGACACACTGCGGGTACCCCTGTCCCTGTCCCTGTCCCTCCCGGTTCCCGGGGCTGTCACAGCCTCTCCCCCCGCCCGGCTCCCGGAGGCTCAGCCCCGGCACTCCCGGTGCTCGGGAGATGGGAGCAGGGATCTGGAGGGACAAACCCCCTTCAGATGCTGCGGGGCCTCTCCTGGGAGCGCGGAGGTGCCTTGGCCAGAGATCCCTGGATCCTGCGGGATCTCCCTTCCCTCCTCATCCTCCCCACCCAGCCTGGGGCTCCTTTGGCCGCTGGAGAAGGATTTCTCCTCCGAGCAGGGGATGCTCCCGAGCCCCTGGCGGGCACAAGGAGCCGGGGCCCTGCTCGGTGTCACCTCGGCCGCTGCTCCCTGCCTGGCCCCGGAGCCACCGCTCGGCTGCGGAGGGAGGAGCAGAGCCTTTCCTGTGCTTTGTGCCATTCCCGGCTTTTCTCCCTTGTTTTGTGCCATTCCCGGCTTTTCTCCCTTGTTTTGTGCCATTCCCGGCTTTTCTCCCTTGTTTTGTGCCATTCCCGGCTTTTCTCCCTCGTTTTGGGCCGTTCCTTGATCCCTCCATGCCGAGGGAGGAATATTCACCTCGGGGAGGGTCCGGCGGTGCTCCCCGGGTGGAACAGGAGCTTCTTGTGGCCACTCCTCCCTCTCTCCCATTAATTAATTTGACATTTAAGCCGAGCTCCTCACGCGGAGCTCCCGAGCGTCTCGGTGACCTCCGGAGCAGCTCCAGGATGGGAGCTGCTGGAATTCCAGGCGGGAGGGAAGGACGTGGCCGGATCGAGGCAGAGGAGGCTCCTGGGGTGCCCCAAAACCTCTGTTCTGGGGCCTTGTGTGGCCAGGAAGGGATGGGATGGACGCGGCTCCTCGTGGCTGTGGGAAGGTGAAATCCACAGAGCTTAGAACCGGTTTAGAGCTGGATCTTCTGAGGATTTTTGTTAAAATTGACTCAAGAAAAGTAAATTCTGGGCCGGTTGAGCCAG